GTGCTCGGCCTCGAGCGCCGTTATGTCCGATACGGTGGTGAACACGTGCGCCGAGTGCACGGCCGCCCTCTCCAGGCAGTAGCGGTGGTAGATCTGGCGCTCGCCGGCCTCCCTGTCCAAGTGGAACAGATGGAGGTTGTTGTAGAAGTCAATGTTGGCGGCGCACAGGTAGCGGCCCAGTAGTGTGGCGTGCGTTGTGAATACAGTGGCGATGTCCAGGTGCCGGATGCGGCACAGTATGAGTCCCACGCCCGACATCCACTCATGAAAGTGGGCCAACATGTTGGGCGCCGACCCCCTGTCCAGCCCCACCTGTTTGTAGAACTCCTCGAGAATCCAGGCGACACAGTAGCCCAATATGATGGCGTCGTTAGTCTCCCTGTCCTGAAAGGGAACGCCTATATTGCAGAGGTTCCAGAAGTCGTGTTTCCATTCATCAAGTTTCCAGGCGGCCGACCCGTAGTCCACGAGCAGCACCTGTGGGTAGCCGTCGATCAGCCAATGGCCGTACACCACGCGAACGCCCGACTCTTTTAGCGTGTTTATGACGTTCCGCATGACTGGGCTCTTAGGCGTCTCGACCTCCACTTCCGTGAGGGCAGTGCTCTCGTTGTAGGGCCCGATCAGGCAGTACTGGTCGCCCATCTCCTCGCGACTGATCTGAGCCTTGGATCGGATAACGGTGTGAATGCCTCCGACTTTGTTCAGCACTTCGGTCGCCACCTCGAAGTACCACCGGTTCTCCTCCTCAGCCTTCCGTCCATTGTCTAAGTACTCGGAGTTCAACACATTGTCTAACCTATAGAATCGTTTAGACATCTGAGAGGAACGCATTTTTAGGGCACAAGTAGCTCTTTATAGTAATTATATGGCGTTTAGATAATTATAAATTTAATGTAAAATTATATTATATTTAAATATAAGATTAAAATTATGAATCTGTTAAACACTTTTAAAAATATTTTTTCTGTACTGAGAGATGACTACTAAATGATACCTGAATTATAAGAAAAATGACTATAAATGAAGAGTGTTTTAAAAATTCAAAACTAGTAAATGTTAAGTCCAACTAATTCTAGCAATCATGTCAATAATTATAGCAAATAATCCCAAACACGTGTATTAAATTGAATTTGAATAAATAATTTTTAGTCAACCCTATGTCTCTGTAGTCCTAAAGTGTATTAACATTTTAAAGGTAAAACTTTAATTATTAAATCATATCTAAATTACATGTTTTTCCAATTTGAAATACTGTATTAGTTGAGAATTATTTTCCACTGCAAAATTTCCAGTCAAAATAACCTTTGTAGAAGTTATATAAAGTTTATTTTAATTCTAGCATCTATTGGTATATGATCGGTTTACTAATTTAATTTAAAGTAGTGTTTTATTAAACAAAATTAACAACAAACAAAATAAATGTGTTCAAACATTAAATTTTATTCAACAAATTACATCATAGTCTAATTTTCTAGAGAAATTTATAATTTAATCAAAAAGTTATAGAATAGTAATATTTAGAGCATTATTCGAGTTCACAGTATTTGAGGTTCACTACAACTACACGAATATTCAGTATTTGCAAACATAATTCAATTCATGAGTTGTCAGAATTTCAACATTAAATGAGTTAATATTCAATGAATGCTTAAAATTCATAGCAAAGTGTTGGGCATTCACTTTGAAATGTGTCTACACTTATTAATATTGTAGTTAGTGTCATAAAATTAAAATTTTTAATAATTATGTCAAATGTCATAAATAGGTGTAAATAATTGATTATTTCGGTTAAACTAGAACATATTCTCGTTAATATAGTCTAGATAAAATAATTAATTTAAATTTAATAATCAATTCTTGAGAAACAGAATTATAAAATTATAAATTTTATGCAAATATTTTTCACAAACAGTTTATTTAGATTTTATTTAATTATAACCCTAATGCTGTTAATTCATAAAATTTTACAAAATATTTACACAATAATTTCTATCATTTTTACTATTATTAATAATTTATTATGTTGCATTTGTTAATTAAGTTACTATTTTAATTAATTGTTTTGGCAATCAATCACATGTTTTTTAGTATTGAAATGTTTGTTTATAATGTTTATTTTTCGCGACAAAACTTTTGCTTTTTATTTGTAT